AAATATTTTGTTAGTAATTAATATCTAAAACCTAAATTCTTTATTAAAATAAAAAATAAAGATTGACTTATTTTACACAGTCGACTTATATTTTTGTTCGCTGATTTTTTACTTTGTTGATTTATTTATACAGTTGATTTTTTTTTTATGTTYGTCRACTTAATATTCAGTTTCGTCGACTTATTTTAAACTGTTGACTTATATTTTGTTTGATTGATTTTTTACTTTGTCGACTTGTTTAACCACTGACTTATTTTTTTYTAKTTTTGTCGAYTTAATWTTCARYTTCRTCGACTTATTTTAAACTGTTGACTTATATTTCGTTTGCTTGACATTTTAAGTTATCGACTTATTTAAACCACTGACTTATTTTTGTTAATTCGTCGACTTAAAATTTTGTTTCATCGATTTATTTTAAACCATCGATTTATATTTTGATTGATTGACTTTTTACYTTRTYGACTTATTTAAACCATTGAYTTAATTTTTTSTKCATCGACTTRACATATTATTATATAAATTAATTAAATTGTAAATTTTAAAATGAATTAAAATCAATTCCTTAGATATTTTAAAGAGAAATTTTTTTATTAGATTATTAGATTATCAATATATGGTTATATACTAGTTTTATATTTTATAAATTAATTTTTAAATAAAAATTAGAAAAATTAAATCATTTTTTTATAACTTAATATTGTTAAATAAAGATATAACTGTCATTTCAACTATTAAAATATGGTATTTTTCAAAGTGTAACAAATTTGGTATAGATTTCAAATTTCCAATAAGATTTGGAGTATACAAGCCAATTTTTCCTTTTTAAAATACTTTCCAGAATTTTAAAGTATTTTTCAAAACTTTTCAAAGGATTTCATGCTTGATTTCTTCAAACAAAACTCTCAAAATAATTTTAAAAATATTCTCAAGTATTTTAAAACAGGTTTCCCAAACATATTTTCAAAATCTTGTTCTTAAAATATTAAAAAATTCAAACTCTTTTAAGAGAATTTTTTTTTTTTTTTCCAAAACACTTTTAAGAGAAATTTCAAACTAAAACCAACTTCATTCTCTCTCCCTCCCTCAAGCATTGGCCTTTTCGATTTCATAATCTTCCATCCATGCTTAACAATAGGAGAAATGGGTAGAGAGTTGAAACGTTGGATAGTAAAACTTTTGCAAAAACGTTAAGAACGAATTTCTTATACTTAATAAGAGAAACCAAGAAATGAACCACTCTCTAATACCATGTATCTTCCCATAATCGCTGTCCATGATCATAATTCAGAATAACCACAATTCAGATATTATTACAAATTGAAAAAGAATGTAGTACAAGTAGAGAGATACTTACGGTTGTTTTTTGAGCCAATCATCCATTTTCTTATGAGTGCATGTTACTACCCAAAAAAGGGAAAAACAGAACCAAATAGCCTAAATATGTTACATCCATTCCAATCCATACAGTACATATTTAAACCCTCTCGAATATACAAAATTAGAGGTTCGTCGAAAATTATTTTTAATAACGCAGTACTTTAATTAAAAAGAAACTAAAATCTTGTCAAACAAACACAAACACAACCGATCACACATACCAGGATTATACACGCTAACTACATTGTAGACTACATATTGTGACGAATGTGTGACTTAGATCTGGAATAGTCAGAGAGAAACAAATGTCAATTTTACCGGCTATATGAGGACGACGAAGTTTACCGGCTATATGAGGACCTCCTAAAG